ATTTACAGACTCCCCTGCAATTAAGCTAAGCAGAATGAAGGGCTCACAAAAAGGTTCTTCATTCAACCTGTCAGAATCACTGTATTTACTATATTTCTTGTTGATAGTAGTCAAAAGATAAAGCTCTAGTGAAGCAACAGACCATAATTGAGTTTTGAATTCAGCCTTGGCATCTCCGTGCATGTCAAACCTCTCTCTCCAACTGTTTTTATTCTTTCTCTAGACTGTCAAAATAAGGGGAGAAAACATTAATTCGTTTTTAACACATCTAATAAATAGAGTGCACCTTGCATATCACATAATATAACCCACATCACTCTTTTCTAAAGAAAAAAGCAAGATAAACAACACCAAGGACAGATCATGACAGTGCCTACAGAGCTGTCATTAAAGAATATTAGGATCTTAATCTGCCAAGAGAAAACTAAGTGCTAAAAAACCTCTGATGCACGTTGGATACAACCAGATTTCCACATAGTTAATGTCAGGTTTAAATGGATTTTATCTCTGGCAGTCCTCTATCACAACATGTAGCATTTTCAATGACATATTCAAACAGGGCAGTTATCCCCCACTCTCCATGGCCTCAGGATTCCCTCCAATTGTTTGAACTCAATAAATGGCATTAGCGCTAGCACCTGCTGTGCTTTATTCTGGATACAGCGAGTAGAGTGGTGCGCCGTGTTTGTAATGCCACCTCGACTTTAGCCCATGCCAACATGCCTTGAAGTCCTATCCTCCTATCTGAAACGCAAATTCAGTGCTGTGTGCCAGTCACTTCCAAATGTCAGCTGAACACCCTTAATATCAAGGGTACTTTTCCCCTCTCATCCGAGGTGGCTTGGGGCTAAGGTATAGCCCTGCATTCTTTATACCCCCCCGACAACCCTGAATCGTGGATAGATAAGATAAGCTGAGGCGTAATGGAATTAGACTTGACAAGACTCTCATTCAGTGTGTTTGCCTTTGGTGTCTCCTTAACCTTTCGGAGAAGTGCCGGAACCTTCTGCCTGAGAAGAGCCTTCCTGACTCCTGCATGCACTTTGAAAGACTACGTTATCCCCCCCCTGAGGTGCATGGATCTGAACACTTTTTTTCCCCTCAAATACCTTTTTAATGGAGTTTAGAAGTTTGGTGTAAATGCCAAGTCTCCGAGCCAAAGTGCCTTTAATTGAGTTGTGCTTTTTCTAATTTTCCCCGCCGCCGTTGCCAATCGTGCAATTTACCAGCGGGGTCAATTACTCCCTGAAATTGTGTAGTGGTTTTAACCTAAATCGTCTGCTGGCCATGCTCTGGCTTTGACCTGGGCGGAATTGTTTTGAGACAGTAAATGGGATGTGGTGTGCAATAAACAGCACACTATGGCGGTAACTCTAGCACTTACCCCATGCTAGACAATCAAGAATCAGCAGGCGACCCACCTGATCTCATTTTGTAAGGAGGAAGGGATTCTGAGTGATATTCCTCAGTTAATGTTCAACATTCAGGGAGTGTAACAAAGACACATGGTGGCGAAAGCACACACTGTAGTCTCCTCAGTAAATATCAACATTCATCTTTGAATGATAAGATGATTTAGATGGTTGGCGCCATGGCTCCAAGCTTGAAATTGATTCTGTACACAACAGCGCATAAGCTACACTTGCAAAATACATGTGCAGCAGGCATCAAATCATTCAAAAGAATCTGCTCTTTCTCTGTCTTTTGTATCAAATTGAAGGGGGTCTTGGCCAGAAACTGTACTTAGCCGTACCTAAGACAACACTGCCCCCTGCAGACTAACTGATGGAAAGCACATCAAGCAATGTCATCAAGCACTTCATTCAGGATCTTTATGGTCATCTTAAGGATATGCAACTGTGAACCAAGAACAACTTTGCAATACTACAGCGTAGGATTTTACTGGTTCGTTGTATATTTTAGGTTAAAACAGGCAGTGGAAGAATGGAAATGAGATACCATACTTTCTAAAAAAATGTATTGGTTAATGTTACAAAATGTATGAAACTATTGTACCCTGGAAATGTTGAGGGACCTCTGGTTTGCTCATTATAGAGCAACACATTTCGCAGAAGCTGCAGTGGAAGTGACACAACACTAAACTTTTAGTTAAATTAAAAAGGTAGCCATATTATTTTACGATTACTCAAAATTACTACCAAAACACAGAGAATCTCAACCACTGTGGGTCAAGCACATTAATTGACTTTTCTACCATCACCCAAGGTGGCTATTTGCGACGGCAGTCCTACGGGTTGATTAGAAAAACTATTATGACAAACACAACAAATCACCTCACCCACCACTGCACAAAAGGGTGGGTGAGAGAATCTATCTTACTGTTGTTTACTTTCTGCAGTGTTTTTGAAAGGATACTCTCCCTCTCCTCTACTATGATCACGTTCTGTTGCTCCAGCTTCTGGATTTTGCCCTCAAAGTTTTCCTGTTCTTGTTTCAGGCGCTGCACTGACTCTTCCTTCTCCTCGCTCACTCTGGAGAACAGGAAACAACTGAGTTAGAGCACAGGTGGTCTACAAAATTAGGTCCAAATGTGACAAAGGATGAAAAAGGAATTCAAAATTAAACAATTCAAAACAGGTATCACTTCTTACATACGTTTTGAATAGTATCATTTTAAAACCACAAGAGGTGCAATATTTATTAAGAATAATGATTTTGTTATAGAATATGTAGTGATGCAGTGATTTATTGGCCTAAAAATTGTACTCAACAAATTTGAGGAAAATAATTGGGTAATATCCTTCAAAAATATCGAGGTATCATTTTTGAGATTGAATATTATATCACCCAAATCATATTGCAACAGCAAAACCAGTAAGAAAAAAAAAAAAAATCATCGTAATTTAGTCCAAGGCTATAAGGTTTAAATCTTTTCCTTTAGGAATCATCTTCCGCTTTGTTAATACCATACTCAGAATAACATTTGCCACTTGCTATTTAAATCTGATCCCAGTTGGTCACCTTAAGAGCTTATCTGAAAACCTTGGTTAAATGGCATTTGATGTGCTACAAGATTCAAAGGATGTTCTTCATATGTAATAACTCTGCAAGACTAAACTGTCTGCAAAAAACATTGGGGATTATATTGTGAAAATAATTGCTGCACAGCACCATCTACTGGAATAATCAATTTCTGCAGTTCTGTGGTTCCAAATTGAAAGAAATCCATTCATTTTTTTTGAACGAAATTATGTAGGGATAAAATACAAAACCAGAATAAGATTTTTGTATTTGTTGCAGTTTAGTTTTGCATTTTTTGAAAATATTGTTTTTCTTTAGTTTCAGTTTACAACAATATGGCCCCCTGCTTATTTTTGTTTTTGTTTAACTTCACAACAATACCCCAAATCATACATTCATATGAACTTTTTAACGACCCACATTTACAGTTTTCATATCCTGCGTAATACCTGGCTAGTTCTTCAATGAGATTTGCAATCCGGTGCTTATCTTCAGGACAGAGGTCCTTCAAACAGACCTGGCTTTTACTTCTGCTGGTCTCAGAGGATACCTGTGCAAATTAAGATAAAAACATAAAATATATTTACAGAAACGAATAATGTAATCCTGTCAGCATCGATAAAAAACGAGTCAGATTATCCATAAACCCTCTTCCATATACAACTATCTTACATACATGGAGCAAACAGAAAAATAACCTACATTAAACAATCGTTTACCTGTGTTGAGGTGAGAAAAATACCAGAGGATGGAAACAGGGTGTGTTCTGTAGCTGCAGTCGCACTGTGATGGTCTGGCAATTTATCCTTGGTATAAACACTAGAGGGCTCATTTTGTAAGTGGCCTTGATTCCTGCCCCCTTTCTTTAGTGTGTTGCCATTCCTGCAGTCAGAGCTACGCCGGGCTCGCATCTTGGTACCTCTCATACTGGATGTACTGGTGCTGCCTGATCCAAAACTGAAAGGGGTCTGAGTCTTCCTTTCTCCTTCCAATCCTGAGAGTATGGGGGAATACAAATGAAGAGCCATTTGTTTAATAGATACTTAGTATTTCATACTGTGTTCAGAAAGTATCCATACAATGTCATTGAGACTCACCAGGAACAAACACCAGAGGCTGTTCATCATCTGAAACAATGCACAAGGCAAAGAGAAGACTTCATTTACAGTGGTGTAAAGTAGCTAAGTAGATTTACTCATGTACTGTACTGAAGTACCATTTTGAGAGGGACCTGTACTTTACTTGAGTATTTCAAATGTTTGCTACTTCTACCCCACTACAATTCAGAGGTATATCGTGTAGCTACTTTATGCCATGAATAAATTATTCTACATTATTCTAGAATGGGCCAATCTGCCTAATAATTACTTCTACTTTTGGTACTTTAAGTATTTCGATGCTAACTCTGTAGTAGGCTACTTTGTGGTAGTTCTACTTTTACTCAAGTACAAGATGGGAGTACTTTTCCCACGTCTGCCAACATGACGCTGAACATTCATACTATTATCAAAGCGTTTCATATATAAAAGACAATGTTAACGTGACCTAAGATAAATACTTTAACATGTAATGTACCACATGTAGCAGTAACTGTTAGCTCATTCAGTAAACGTAACGCTAGCTGTCTCACTTCCTCAGGAATAACAACTTCTAGCATTGACACAAAAGTAACATCTACGAAACTTTTATAGAAACCTTTTACAAATTACAATCATATATTTTTGAATGGTCAATGTACAAGCAAGCTAGCATTGTTTAGTCAAAGTTAGCGTACCGCCATCCATCCAAAATATCCCCGAATTTGCTGTTTTTGTTGCCGCCGCCATGTTGAAACAACCGCCACCACTCCCAGGGAGCCAAGCGTTGCTAAGGAATCCTATCCCCGCCTTTCACTTTCAACTCAACAGTCCATTGGCTAACCTGTAACAAAGACCGGTTTCTATTGGCTTAAACATGTGTCAGTACTGCGTCAAAGCTGCATCTGTCGCTTCCTGTGTTGTCAGCTAAGAGGTGAACGATACAGGGCAGATAGCTGCAAAGGATGCTTGCTCTGTTTGGTGCACATTTGTGAATACCAAATGGAAGAGACTAAAGAAAGCTTAACCTTTAAAGGTGTTGCTGAGAGACTGACTCTTGGCATTACTCGAATACTCGGTGTGTATCATTGTGATTTTTGCTATGAAACTAGCTAGTAACGTTAATGTTCATGTTAGCTAGAAAACAGATGGGGCCGTTAACTAATACATGTTATGAATGTGTCCCTATTTTGACAGAGAACATGCCAGGTGTGGTCGATGTGCGTTTTGTTGAGAGGGAGCCTGCAGAGAAGAGGAGCCTCCTGTCATGGGAACAGGTGAAAGATGGAGCAATTTATGACAAATACATTTGCTCTGTCATACATTGTTATCTTATTACCATGCTCTATTTTTTCCTCAGAAAAACGCTTGTATTTTGCCAGAGGACCTGCGAGATTTCTATCTGACAACTGATGGATTCACGCTTACCTGGAGTGTTAAACTAGACAGTAGGTGTCATCATTAGTTTGTCTGTCTCATAGAAGTCTTAATATATTTGAATGAAAGGCTACTATTAAGACAACATGATAAAGGTCAATGAAAAATAGATTTTTTCCCACCAATGCCTTTTGTGAAGAAATGACAGCTCTGTGATACAATCCTAACTGTGTGTATGTGTTTGCCTTCCAGATGAGTGTGTTCCCCTGGGATGCATGATGATAAACAGTGTGTCCAGCCTGTGCCCACTCCTCCAACCAGTATCACTATTCTCTCTGCCCAATGCCCCCTCGCTGGCAGACCTGGACTGGGAGGAGGACGGCGCAGAAAGTGGTAAACCTGTCAGAGCCTCATGTGGGCTCAACTCAACAATTACAGCCTGTCAACTTTGATTAAGTCTGTTTGTGTGCTCAGTTGTGCAGAAAGCAATCTAATGAATGAAATGTTGATTGCAAAGTTAATATTTATTCCAGACTCATTAATGTTTTGTGTGCCAGGGAGGGGTCGTGCTCCCGCTGCACCCCACTTTGATTCCCGGAGCCGCATCTTCGAGCTGCACTCCTGCGGTGTGAATGGGAAAGTGTGTCTAGTCTACAAAAACTGCACTACAGGTGATCTCACAAACTTTCAACTTTTTATGATTTCTCCGAACAACAATGTTACTATTTTAAAAACAATGATCAATCTATAATATGTTACAATAAATGCAACATAATGTATGTGTTGTTCTTTGACTTTTCTCAGGTGTGGTAGCCCAGCAAAGTGAAATTTGGTTCCTTGATCGCTCGCTCTGTTGGCATTTACTGACGGCAACCTTCACCTCCTACTACCGACTGATGATCACCCACCTGGGTCTGCCTGAGTGGCAGTATGCCTTCACCCCGTACGGCCCCAGCCCCCAGGCCAAGGTGTCTAATTCCTCTTTCTATGATAAAGTGTTGTGGTTTAAATGACGTTTGCAAAACTCACCCGAGTTATACATTTTGTATTATTAATAGGGATAACTTTGAAAGTGGTATTCTTTTTTCCTCTCATAAACTCTACCTCAACCAATTTCAATGCCATCTTTTTCCCTCTCTTGAAATACTAAGCTGTTAATAATACATTTTTACAGATGCACTATGCTTTACATAGCTATCTACAAAACATCAGGCTCATCCTGTGAAAGACAGATTTGACTTCCCTAAAAGAAGAAATACAGCCACAACATTACTCAATTTTGCTACTTTATTAATTTAAACTTGTAATAATAACTAATGATAATGATAGTTGTTTATATTTAGGTCAACCGTAAGGGATGACATTGGAGTATCTTATTCTTCTTTTTCCTTGAAATATGATCTTTTGATTTGATTTTCTATGGCAGTATTGAACAGATAGCATGACTGATTATAGCATGAGCTCATCCCTAATTAAAAAAAAAAAAAAACACACTTTGCATGTGTAATAAAATACATTTTATTTATTCGGTTTCATTCACAGTAAACTACAAAGTTGGCTCATTTAACACATTAAGACATAATACTTAAAGTGTCTAGACACTTACACAAGGCCTAACAGTTTTTAACCCTATTCATCAGAAATATAAACATTTATTTCTGTTCACTGAAGGCCAAATGTTTCAGCGAATGCAAATTAGGAACATTTTCCTAAGGAAGTGATGGGGCTTTTGCCATCTCCTTGTAGTATGCCTACTGTTGCGCTCAGTTCTTAAACCACGAACAGGTTATTTTATGATTTAGTCTACATAACTATGAACAGTAGATTGTAAACAATCTACCTCCTGTTCCCTCTGCAGCAGTGGGCATCACTGTACCAGCCTCTGACTTTCAGCAGTGAGCTCAACTTTGTGGATCCTGCAGGAGATTCCCACCTCAACAAGCTGGATCCTACAAAGGCCTTCAAAGGAAAAGCCAAGGTACCTGTCTTAAAGAAGAAGCAGTCGACACCATGCAGCCTAGGGAGCACAGCAAAGAGCCAAAGCAGCGCAGTGAGACACCACAGTGGGGGAAAGCGGTGAGAATGTTTCCATCAGAGGAAAACCTTTCAACCAGCTTTTCCGTCTAACATGGGTTAGTGGAGCAGCTCGCAAGTCCTTCAAGGGTCGGGTTTGGTTAGCTTCGCTATGCTCAATGAGAGCATGTTGTCCAAAAGCAAGTCTGGAATGGCCCACGTCTGAATGGATACATAAGAAGAGTTTTTTCTTAAGCACAGTTGTTGCGTTTCTCACCAATACATTCATTCAGGAAAGCCACATTTGATACAGGTTTCACTAGTAACACCTAGTGGTAAACATAAGTAAAAACAGCCATTGTAAAAAATGTAATCAAGTGCTGCCGACAAATAATCCTGACATGTTTTGAGTGCTGTCACTAATAAGTAATCAGAATCAGTAAATATCTGTATTTATCATTGTATATATTAAAATTTCAAATGTCTCTTACAATATATCATATAAACACATTTAAAATAAGTGTTTACAATTGGTAAATAAAAAACAGGAAGAATAAAAATAATACTTTTTCAGTTGGGCAGTAAGTGCTTGTATGATTAAAGTCATAGCTGTAGTTACAAACTCTAAATTAACACTTTTCTAAAGAAAATCATCAAAACATAATCAAAATTCACCAAAAGATCATCAAGCTTGGCTTCAGTTAAGTTGCTCACTGGCCATTGCATCACTGCAGTGCCTTGCTGATGCCTCTAAACTTTACAAACATAAAATGTGCTAGAGTTTAGTCCTATGAGTTTTTTATCTAATAATGACATCTGCTCTGACTGTGATGCGGTTTGATTCCAGCATTTAAGGAAAATAATGTGCTAGCTTTAGTGCTCTTGTTGCCGTGGCAGACTTATTAGACATCCAGGATTCATTTCTGGACTTGTTTTTTGTTCAAGTACTTTGGAACTCCTACAAAGTTAATCAAAACACATTACCTAATCTAATCTTACATGTTTGAGCTTCACGCTGCTGTGCACTGGATTTTTTGGAAAGATTCATGTGTGTTTTATCTTTGCTTGTGCTGCTGCCATTTCAAGCTGTGAGGAGCAAACTCCTACTGTTCCTATTTTATTTTCCTAAAGATACATGTTTGGATAGAAGGCTTTTTACTTTGCTTCACATGTAGTGCCCAAGCCCATGTTAATTGTCTCCTGTTGATTGTTATAATGAAAGATATTAAAGGTGTCTTCCAATGTATTACAAGCTGCTATTACCTCAATAAAAAAACATGAAGTATAAGTGTGTTTTTTCATCTTCTATGCATTAAAATTGCTATTAGATTTCAACGTTCGTCTAAGTAGCTGAACTAGTGCAGATTGGAGAAATAAGTGCTAGATGTCAGCCTCACGGTGTTCTATATATGTTGCTGTCTGACAAGTTCAGAAACTGCATTCAAGTAAATGAAAGCTCAGCGCAAGTTCAATCGGGAAGACCAAGCTCTTCATTCATATTACATGTCATTTCAATACTCTCTCCTCCCTCATTAAGTGATCTGGGGCGTCACTCCCCAGCTAACCAATCACTCCTCTCTCCATTCTCACAAGCCTATCGTTGCACCCGCTAATCCATTTAAATCTGCTCTTCCCTCTTGTCAGCTGTCATTTCAGGTGACAATACGCAACCCTCCTCCACCCCTCTCGCCTCCCGTTTCCTACAGGGCCAAGCTAAACCTTCTCCCTTCAGACCGGTCCCACCTACTTATCACCACCACCAGTGTCTAGACCCCAGGGGGTTTCATCGGAGCGGTTCCTCCCCCTCCTGAATGATTATCCTGCAAACTGGGGCCTAATCGCCAAACACCATTCCATTCACCTGTTATAATTCTGGCAATCATTATTACATTCATATTATGTGTCCCGGTAATAAATATGTATTTCATACATCAACGTCTCTCCTGATTGAACTAAGGTTGGTGGTGAAATTAATCACATAACCTTTTTAAAATTGCTTGAGATGTTTTGAGCCATTCTTTCTTGTTGTAAAAGTCCTAATGTCCTCCATCTTTGATATTTGTTTTTGGTCTATTACTTTAACCCTTAGCCATCATGGAATGCTACACACACACATCACACAGTTGAGGGTGTCAGACACATACATTGGCACAGATTATCTTCTGTTTCTTCAGGGGGGCAGCCTCCTCATCAAACTCCTCCATTAGCCCATCAACCGGCTCAGAGACGTGGGGGTGGTGCATTTCCACCAACACCTTGTACAGTCCTGCCCCCAGTACTCCTCCAATCGGGGGCCCAACCAGTGGCACCCACCACCAACCATTTCCAGCCCTGCACAGATAAAAACAGATAACAGTCAACTATTAGAAAATTACAGGATGAATACAAAACTTTTTTTTGCATAAATATTTGGTCACAATATTAGGATATTCTGCCTATAATCAGTAATGAGTTTCAACTCCCATTTTTATTACTTTATTACATCAAATACTTGAAAAAAGATTTTGGGAAAAGTGTGAAAAAAGCTGAAAAATATCCAAAACTACTGTAACTCTGAACTATGTATTTCACCAAATAACACTCATTTAGGCTCTTTAATGTATTGGTCTTTTGATAAATGTAATGTCTTCATTTCCATTCACTGAGCCTCCCCTAAAACTATGCCAAGTGTTATAGCATAGATTGAGCGACTTGTTCAAGTATGTGCTATCTATCATCATGAGTTATATATTTTATATAAACAATCTGTTAATCATTCATGAACAAGGGGAAACAGTTGAATTGTAAATCTCAAAATACAAGTTGTTAAAGAGTTACAAATACTCCCAAAATTATGCGTACAGACAACAAAGTAAATTGTTAACTAATATGTTTTCCACTTGCATTGTTTGAAACCACTAGCAGTAGTACCCTCTATGTATGAACAATCAACTCTGCTCAGAACAGAATAACAATTAACAGAGATGTTTTGCCCTCAAATTAACCCAAAGTGACATGCAGAAATGTCCCCAGAAGCCAAAATATCATGTGTATATGTACCTGAACACGTCCACCCCCCAGCCTGCTACAGCAGTGAAGAGCCTGGGGGCGATGTCTCTGGTGGGGTTGATAGCATATCCGCTGTTTCTGCCCATAGAGATGCCGATGAGCAGCACCAGCAGACCCACTGCGATGGGCTCCGTGCCCGCTGCTGCCGGTTTGTTCCTCTGGTCGGACAACGCCATCAAGCAAAGCAGAAGCAAGGCTGTGCCCAACACCTGGCATAAACAAAAAAAGAAGCTTAACATACATTGCTGTGTATAGAACAATACAACAAGAACACATTTTGAGCGCAGAATGATTGTAATAAAGCTGTAATCCTCTAATTCAATTTCATGGCTACCTGATCAATGAATCCCCCCATCAAGGAGAGGTATGGTGCGGGATAGGTGGCAAAGATACCAGCTGTGGCCAGTTCCCCGGTTACAGTCAGGTTTCCTCCACAATATTCATGTATAGCATCTGCATATGGAAACAATATAAATAAGACAGATACCCTTAGATCAGTGTTTCTCCAACTTTTTCATACCAAGGACCACTTAAAGGTTGGGTAGGTAAGTTTGAGAAACCGGCTCGAGATACACTTTTTGTTATATTCCATGGAATGCTCTTAACATCCCGATAGCAATGAATATCTTAAGTGCTTTGACAAAAAATCCATAAAAAAATGTAATCTGTGGAAGCCGTAATACTGTAAAAAGTATGACCAATCATTTTAGCCGGCCCGGCTAAAATAACTGGATGGCCTACCTGCCTGTCAGCCTTCCATCTGTGCACAAACTTATCTCGTGCCCTCATTGGTCCTGTGCGCGTTCGTGTGTGTTGGAGGAGGGGCTCTATAAGGAAGTGGCAGATTTTCTCCGGTTGTGTATTTTCAAATTCTAGCGATCTCGAGCCAGTTTCTCAAACTTACCTACCCCACCTTTAAGCAATAAAAAAACACTCGCGGACCACCTAACTCCACAAATATCCAAAAACACATCGTTTTTCTAGAACAGATTACAAATCGCCTGAAAATGGTACAAACAAGTGGCAACATGTGTGATGAAGGTGTTGCGCTGGGCTATATCATGCAATCACGCAATTAAGCTCGCTCCATTGCGGAGATATTCCCGCGAGAGTGCGGAAAAACTTTAATTAATTAATTAAAAATGTGAAATGTTACCAATATACTCACGGACCACTAGGGGGCGCTCACGGACAACCAGTGGTCCGCGGACCACACTTTGAGAAGCACTGCCTTAGATGTTGTACTAAAACAATTGAATAGCTATGATATATGGACAAGGAGAAGTGAATAAACGAACATGCAGTGTGTACTTATGGGCTCAGAACAGTCTCATAATACACACATGCACACAGAAGGATTCACACTTGTATTTCCGGATCCACACTTGTGTTTGTCAATGCACACACAAATGTGTTCCGTTTCATATACATGTAAATAAAATCCAAATACAGAAAAAAGTTTTACATGTGTATTTTTGATCCTCACATATTTGTTTTCCGTTTAAATCCCCTGAACCTGCAAACACAAACCGCTTTCTGTGCATGGATCGCTGTGCATTCGTGTGTGGGTTTTTTGAGACTCCCCTGACGGTCACCCGATTCGTACTTGTAATTTTTTCTATCTATAGCCAATCAGATGTCTCCTTCATTCTAAGCCAATCACATGAGCGGGTCCCCACGAGGGTATGATTTATTGCGTTCATGACACTTACGCATTTTGCGCTGTCTGGAGCAGGGTTTCCGCGGACAGAATTTATTTTACCTGAAAAATTTGAAACTTACCGGTCATGTTTCATTAATAATAATAAGAAGAAGAAGAAGAATAAGAAGAATTGTGGAGCAGAGTTTCCGTTAGCAGGTAATTACCGGACTATGACCGGATATGGCTAATAACACGGGAGTAAGGATCATCTCTTTTTTCCTCTCTCCCTCCCTCTCTCCTGACAGCCCGTCAGTTTCTCATGCAGCTCGCTAAAACTTCACTCGCGTTTATGTCCATATCGATCAGATCCAGCTCTCCTGATCGGCCTTTATAGAGAGCACCGATCAAACTATTAAGAGTGAATATCGGCCGATAATGACCGGCGGGGCTCCCCCCGTTGACAGTTCACTGTCTAGCACTGGCTTCGTAGTGCACTGATCGATTAGGCTAAGCTAACCTGTAGCTGCTCCCTCCACACTCACAACAACTTCATACAGACATAAATAAAGCAGCTGTATTCGCCATACAGGAAACACACATTTAAAACGGTTTTGCCTGCCGTTTTTGTGTACACAAGCATTCATTAATGGTTCGGAAAGTGGCACTACCTTAATAATATAAAGGCTTGTATTTGCGTGCATTTCATGCTCGGAAAGTATGGACTCAGAACAGTCTCATAATACACACATGCACACAGAAGGATTCACACTTGTATTTCATGATCCGCAAAAGGATTCACACTTGTATTTCCGGATCCACTCTTGTGTTTGTCAATGCACACACAAATGTGTTCCGTTTCATATACATGTAAATAAAATCCAAATACAGAAAAAAGTTTTACATATGTATTTTTGATCCTCACATATTTGTTTCCCGTTTAAAACCGCTGCACCTACAAACACAAACCGCTTTCTGTGCATGGATCGCTGTGCATTCGTGTGTGGGTTTTTTGAGACTCCCCTGACGGTCACCCGATTCGTACTTGGGCACATGAGCGCGCCCCCACGAGGGTAGATTTCTTGCGTTCATGACGTAGCGCAGGGCTATTCAATTAGTTTGGAATGGGGGCCGGTTGATGAAAATGATCCAAACCAAGGGGCCGGGAAAAAGATGGCTTGAAATATGAGCAATCATATTTAAGAGCTTCAGATACAGTAAATACTACAACAGCATAGTGGAGTACAACATAGCCCCAAGGCCTTTATAGATCTAAATGGCAAGTTCAGAACTCAGTAGGCCTACATGTTTCATTTGATTTCATTTAGGTGAAATGATCTAATCATTCACGCAGAGATGCAATCAATGACAGGAGTTGTCACTACAGTATAGTAGGTGGGTTCGAAACCCGAGCCCATCGAAGTTTTCAGGCATTGTCTACCCCTCTATCTCTCAATGTAACACCCTCTCTGGAATAAAGGCACTATGGCACAAAAAAAATAATAAAAAAAAATCTTAAAAAAAAAAAATTGATTACTTTTTAACATTATACTCAAAGGGCCAGTAAATATCACCCCGGGGCCGGATTTGGCCCGCGGGCCGCCAATTGAATAGCCCTGAGTAGCGCTTCATGTACGCATTTTGCGCTGTCCGGAGCTGACAGGAGCCTGCAGGCGCTAATCTCAGGACACTTCCACTCTCAGTACATTGCCACTTTCCGAGCAGGAAATGCACGCAAATACAAGCCTTTATATTATTAAGGTACAGTGCCACTTTCCGAACCATTAATGAATGCTTGTGTACACAAAAACGGCAGGCAAAACCGTTTTAAATGTGTGTTTCCTGTATGGCGAATACAGCTGCTTTATTTATGTCTGTATGAAGTTGTTGTGAGTGTGGAGGGAGCAGCTACAGGTTAGCCTAATCGATCAGTGCACTACGAAGCCAGTGCTAGACAGTGAACTGTCAATGGGGGGAGCCCCGCCGGTCATTATCGGCCGATATTCACTCTTAATAGTTTGATCGGTGCTCTCTATAAAGGCCGATCAGGAGAGCTGGATCTGATCGATATGGACATAAACGCGAGTGAAGTTTTAGCGAGCTGCATGAGAAACTGACGGGCTGTCAGGAGAGAGGGAGGGAGAGAGGAAAAAAGAGATGATCCTTACTCCCGTGTTATTAGCCATATCCGGTCATAGTCCGGTAATTACCTGCTAACGGAAACTCTGCTACACAATTCTTCTTATTATTATTATTATTATTATTGAAACATGACCGGTAAGTTTCAAATTTGTCCGGTAAAATAAATTCTGTCCGCGGAAACCCAGCTCCGGACAGCGCAAAATGCGTAAGTGTCATGAACGCAATAAATCATACTCTCGTGGGGACGCGATTTAAATGGAAAACAAATATGTGAGGATCAAAAATACATATGTAAAACTTTTTTCTGTATTTGGATTTTATTTACATGTATATGAAACGGAACACATTTGTGTGTGCATTGACAAACACAAGTGTGGATCTGGAAATACAAGTGTGAATCCTTTTGCGGATCATGAAATACAAGTGTGAATCCTTATGTGTGCATGTGTGTATTATGAGACTGTTCTGAGCCCATATGTACTAACCGTAATAGACGCCATATATGGTCCCTGCTGCCAGAAATGACCCCAATAGTTGTGCAAAAATATACAGAGGCAGCATCTTCCATCCGAGCCGGCCGAACATACACATTGTGAATGACACTGCTGCATTCATGTGAGCCCCTGATGGAGTAAAAAAACATGTGTCAGATGATGAGTTGTGACATTTTTTAATAGTTCTTAATATAACTGTTTACAAAGGTCACTCCTCATACCTGAGACTTTCCCTCCAACATGAACCCCCATAGCAACACCCAGTCCAAAGCCCAGGTTGATGCTGAGGTACTCTCCGAACGCTCCCTGCCCCGTCACTACCTGGGCCACAGACCCCAGACCAAACACCTGTACACAGAGAGAAGGGGTCAAGCACAGGCAAAGCCACAGAAGACACAGAAAGAGCAGCAATGACAGGGGGAAGCTTCCAGAAAGCATAACAGCAAACTGGATTTGAAATGTAACAAAACACGATGGATACTTATTTAACAAGTGCCAAATAAGTCAGCATTTCGGCCAGGCGTCCGGAGTGTAAGAAAACAATGAGTGTTTTGTTCTGAAGTGTTTTGATACTAAAGTTAACTGAATTTACTTTTTAACTGAAAGCTACTGTGGTGCATGTGAAATTAAAGCTGACACTGAAAAACATTCAGGGGAAACAGGAAACGTGTGGTTCCTTCCCCGAAAGTCATGCGTACATATGGGTGAGAGTGACTTCAGTTTTTCCAAGTAAAGCCTGGCTGTGTTCTAAGTATAGGCTTGATTTGCTACTAGACGTAATGTGACTTTTGCACCCACCCACTGCCTGACCATTCCTCTGGTAACATTTCCAGGTTCACCCACATGAACCCACCAATCCCCAACCCAGGACCCCCCCATGTGACTGGAATGTGCCTTTGTGTGTGTGTGAGAGGGGGGTGCGTGTTATCAGGGACAAGAGCATGACATTCATTATTAATGGCACATGGCTGTTACAGTAAGCATACAAAGAGCTCAAATAAGTGGCAGCAGAATGATGGATATAAAAAACGTTAAAGGTTAAAATCACACATTATTACAACAAGCTTTTCTTACCATCATGACATATGTGCAGAGGGTTTCAGCAAGTCCAACACGAACACATTCATTCCTTAGCCAAACTTTGGGTTGAGTTGCGTTGAATCTTTTCTGCTGAGAGACCCCCAGTTCTAATGCCTGCTCCAAATCCTTCATTATTTCTTCTTCTTCTTTCCTTCTTTTCCTGTTTTTGTTTTGTAAGAGTTTTCTTATTTGGCAAGAATAAAGTTCAGGCTCCCTTGAAGAATATATGTGGTTCCTCCTCCAGTGTCACACCGCACTCCAAAAACAAGACTCGCTCTTTCTGTTGCACTCCTCCCTCTCTAGCCTCTTCCTTGTTACTCTGTCTTTCTTTGTGTCTGTCTCCCTCTATCTGTCACACATACCCATTAGGATCTGTACCCTTTTTATAGCCTTAACCCAACCCCCTCCTCTTGGATAGGTTTAAAAACACACAGTATGACCCATCCCCCCAATAGCTTTGCATTTTTCCAGGCTCACTCCAATCAATAGGCCAGGTGTCATGGAAAAAATTGCTGTGCTGAATAAGAAGAAAACTTTCCTACCTTGTATAACTGTCTAAGAAAAGTTAAATATATCAGGGTCTTCCCACATAGGCTATTTTAATTGTATTGCTTTATCAGATAGTGTTTATCTGCAATATTTGTAGGTTTTACAATAGCAAAGATATGCTTACATGTTACAGGATGTTCTCCTGGAAATGTTAATCAGTCTGTTGATTGTACTATGTTAATATGCATAAATGATGCGCATTGAAGAACTACTCAGATCCTGTAATTAAGTACAAGTAGAAGTAGCACAGTGTAGAAATACTCAGTTACAAGTAAAAATCCTGCCTTTAAAATGTTACTCAAGTAAAAGTACCAAAGTATAAGCATCAATATGTTCTTAAAGTACCAAAAGTAAAAGTATTCATTATTCAGATTGGTCCATTTCAGAAATATATAATATATTTTGATTATAATTATTGATGCATTAATGTTTTTATCAAAGCTGGTAAAGGTGCAGCTAGTTTTATTTCCTTTGTTTGCTGCAGGGTAACTTAAAACTAAATTGTACTCAATGTGTAACTAAAGTCTTATTGAAGTGTTGTTTGTATTTCACATTCAAATCTGCAAAGTAACTGAATATATTAAATAAATCAAGTGGATTAAAAGTACACTATTTACCTCTAAATTGTAGTGTGGTAGAAGAACAAAGTAGCAAAATATTGAAATACTCAAGTAAAGTACAAGTCTCTCAAAATTGTGCATAATTACACTTAATACATGTACTTACTTTACACCGATGTGTGCATATTATTTAAAACGTGTGTGTGTTTGTATCCTGTAAAGTTTCCGGTATGTCATTTTACCATGTTACGGTGATTTTGTATATTTCCACATCAATAGCAAGAGAATTGGAGGTAAACAATCAATTCAACGTAAAGCAAGCCTATTGATTAATAGGGACTTCATTGACTACAGTCTCTCTTATCTGCAAGTGGAAATGTACCAAAATCTTCCTCCAACTCCACGGGTAGTTTTCCCATGTTAGCATTGGATTTCCCACACTGCTGATTTTAGAAATTGCTTGTGATTATTAGATGATACATTAAGACTATGTAATGGTGCAACTAAAACATAAGAAGTCTCCGGGTAACAAAAAAAAAAGACTGACTACTGTTCATTCACTTTAAGTGTCAAGTGTCCCCTGGAAAGAATAGAATAGAATCGGAGGGATATAACCCTCTTTAATGGTCACACATGCAGAGCACACAGCACACACAGTGACATTTGTTCTCTGCTTTGAACCCATCCTAGTACCAGGAGTCTAGTACTAGGAGTCCCATGTGGTGATTTATGACTCTGATCTGTGCAACTTGGACCATTTATTTTTGCTAGAAATGTGTTGCAGATGTTCCAGATTACATTATAAATTGTATCAATGAAACTGTGTTTGTCTGTTTTCAGGGGTGAATAACACCCCTTGACCTCTGACAAAAAATAGCATTAGTAGGGCAACCTTGCCATGCCGTAATCACTTCTGTAAATCTTCTGTCTGATACCAATGAGTAGTCATCAGTATCTGACTATCCCGCAAAACGATATGTAAACGGGTAAAACAAACAACACCAGACACTTTGATCATGGGCATGGTAAGACGTTCATCAGACTTCAACCCTTAATCCCACAGAGGTCGGTGCAGCAATGCTTTTCCTTTCTGTAAATTCTAGTCTAGTTTAAATTATGTTTTATTAAAAAAAAAATCCAAAGTAGCATCTCTCAGATATATTTCCATTATGCCAACCATAAAAACTCATGACCAAACAAAACATTTCGAAAAACATGTGTTTTATTTTGCTTGCAATGGTTGTCAATTACCTAAACACAAATAGAACAAATCTCAGAAATCTAAATGTGATGCAATTGTATTTCTACAGGCCAGCATGACATCACCAGTTACATCTCACTGTAGGCTACTACAGGCCAAATAAAGCAGTATATGATAATAACTATATTGTTTTAGAATACTGCTTTATTTTTGTATTAATATTATTATTATTAATAAATATGTAATTGTTTTTTTGACTGTGTTAATGCAGTAGCAATACAATTATCACAAATTAAAATGCCTATATGACTCCATTAGTCATCAGATAAAGCAGTCAGCTAAAGGAAATGACAGCGTACTAACAACCTCATTTGACTCAAAGCCACTAACATTCATTGGCATGTTTTGCTCTCTAGAGGGCAACTGCACTGCAGTGGACAAAACTTGTAAAACTCAAAGGAGACATGGATTATGTGTGTGCAGTGGCGTTTTTATATGTACAAAAGTGGTGGGGCACAAAAAACTTAGATGTCTATATATAAGCTTTTGCAGTGACGTGCAGTGAGGTTCATGGCTGGTGAGGCACTGGCACTGACTCTTCAGGTTTACAAATATTATATTTTGACCTAAACCAAAATATAATATTATTTTCAAAAGCTTTTTTTGTCTGATGCTTCGATTCATTTTAAACAGACAGTTCAACAAAAGGATACCCAAAAAATGTAATTTTATCATTTAAATATTGAATTGTTCTCTCTTAGTAAGATCCCATTTTCAATAAAATGGCGGTCTTACCTTGACTTGAAGATGAAGTCCATTTTCCTATCCTTCTGGACAAACATTTCTATTACTTTTTTGTAAAAGTCCTCCTTATCTTCTTGTAGTTTCAAAAGTCTATCATAAATCTAATCCATAGATTTATGATAAAAAAATTATAAAAGTAGGGTAGACATGTGGATATTATCCGGCTAATCAAAACGTGCATTTATCTAACAGGTACGTTTCCCACAGATCTTATTTCGAGCTATTTTCTAAAATCCTCTGGAGAAATCTCATTGCTTTTTTGTGCTTACTTCCTGGTTTTAGGACGCGCCACTGCAGCTCTCTCGTCTCCTCTTCACACAGCACACTTTTCGCGGCACACGTACTTACAGCCAATCAGCTCTGAATGATTTGAGATGACGTATGGTGGGGATGGTAGCTCCGTGCCCCTCTGGTCATTATTTTTTTGCCACACACATTACATTACAAAATACTCTGAGCATGCGCAGTGTAGTTTTTACAGTCACGTTCACTTCACAGCGAGAGGAAGGGGCATAATCAGGTTTTGTCCCACATGGCTCTAAACAGCTCAATAGGCACACACTGTGACTGTAGACACACTAATTAGAAGAACACAGACTAAAACAGCAATGTACAGACGAATCAGATGATTAAACATGATCTTAAAATATATTTTATATATTTTTTTATTTATTTTTTTGCATTTTTGTAATCATTATTTGTAATACTTTCTGCTGACACTAGGTGGGGCTGTGCCCCACCTGCCCCTAATGACCAGTCGCCACTGTGTGTGTGATGAATCAACAAAAAAAGCTAGATTCCTGGCACATTATTTCTCACAGCTTCCAAGTAAATGTGTTTTGCTTTACGCATGTTCAGCATTTCCATATATAGCACTAGAATGCCCAGGAAACTGAGACAATTGTTCATGAGCCAGAGAGACAATTTCACAGTCGTACAGTTAAACATTTGGAAGTGATTTGAGTCAAAAGGAATGTCCAAATCTGCCTTTTTTTGTAAAACATCGACACACATTCAATACTGGAAAAAGAAAGAAAAGGGAAATTACTGACACCACACTGGGAACATACTTCAATTCAAGGATCTATTGTGAGTAATTTTACTTTTTGAATGCAGGACATGTACTGGTATTTTAGTTTAGTGAACTCATCAATGTAATTAATTTTAGTTTTTTATAGAGCATTGTCAAGAAAAATGTAAACCAGATGTTGGTGTGACGTGAAGTTTACACCCCCCTTTAAATGAAGCACAGCCCCTCTCTGCCCTTTCTTGGATTAACTGTTGCTGAATGTTTTAGGCACACCTACTACTCAGATATACCAAACCGGCCAGCTGCTCCTGTCCTCAATCATTTCTTGCTGACAGACGCTGATCTCTGACTGTGCAATGCATTGGTTGGATTTGTTTTATAACCCGGTGTGGGTACTGTTCACGGCTGTGCTGGCGCTCGTGGTGCGGATCCAGCGCAGAGGGAGCTGGGACCCGCAGTCCTGCAGCGTGCGGCTGAAGGGGAAGACTGCCATAGTGACAGGAGCCAACACAGGTCGGTCCATTTAACGCGTTCATTCTGCAGCACCGTAACAAGGGTTTGGCATGCACTAACGCAAAGTTACCAATATTAATGTGGCAAAAAGTCAGTATTAGTCAATGGAACGTTAACCGAAAGTCCTGTTATTTATATTTTTCCCTCTTCCTAAAACCTGGTTCAAGCGTTTCTTTGAACAGCAGTTTGGACTTTGGAATAAACAGGAAATGCCATTGGGAGGAACATTCTGACTCTCATCTGACCATGAATTTGGTCGTAAACAGTCTATGGGTTTAACAAACTATAAAGCATGTGTAGTAATTTTCCGTAATACATTTGAAAAAAAACAAAGAGTGTAAAGGTCACGCTTTTTTGTGATGATTAGACTGCTAACAGAGAAGATATTGACGGATTCTATTTGACTGATAAATAACTCAAATTGGTCTTGAAACACAAACGACAACTCCAACCGCAGTAAGGTTTACTATATGCTACAACCTCATTTTCATTTAAAAAATAAATAAAAAAGTCTATAGCCTACGCGCCTTTCTCCAAGGCCAACGGGCATACAACAACCACAAATACTCAATAAAAATACTCAATAACTTCCATGTCATGCAGTGCAATGCTACCATAATCACTTCAAACATTAATGGTCTCCTAGTGGTTGTACAAAACCCTATCTGCATCATTTTGGAGATTTTCTTTTGTGGAAAATGTTCAAAACCCACCTGTTACCAGAATCACATTCTCAGTCTCATTCTGGTTTAACTACATCAACAAGTTGGAAATAATATTACTTTTTGCATCATTTCGGTGATTATTTTCTTGTTGTAAACATAATAAAACTCCACTGTAATTTAATGCTACCAAAATTGTTTCACATTTCAACGTTTTGAAAAAATATGCATTTGCTCAGTCATGGTTCAGTCCATCGTTAATAGAAAATATTCAATAACTTAAATGTTATACAGTGAAGGGTGGCCAAAATCTCTTCATACATTATTGTTGTTATTATGTTTGTTATATTACAAAAAAAGATTGGTGGAATTTTCAATAACGTTTTACAATTGTTCTTCTCATATGGTCTTCTGTTGGTTGTACTACACAAACATATGAGGAAATTGGTCCTTTTGCTCCATCACATCACAACTTTAATGTTGTTGTGTCTACAGAATACGAAGCTGCCAAGACATTTGGACCACTAGCACTGGAGGAAAGCTCCCTGTGTCCTTTAGAAATATCTGGCCTGACTGGAATCCTTTAAAATAATTGTAGCCATATAGCCGAGAGTGTTGAGAGCCATTAGCGGTGTTTTACCAGTTCTTGGATGGGACGGGAGACTGACTTTGAGTCGATTCGGACTTGGCGACCATTGACATATGTCCTAACCTGTTAGTGTAGTATAACCAGCAGAAGACCATTCACGTGTGACATGGGAAGCACTACACTGCAAAAACGTGATGTTACAAGAACATTTTATACCAGAAATGTTCACCCAAATTAGCATATTTCTTCAGAACTTCAGCAGCAGCATATTTGAGCTTGTGGCAGTAACTGACAATATTGATTCAGCTCATCAGAGAAGTTGTGGTTTCTGAACCGCTTCTGTTGGTATGTCAACACAATGCAACCATCACCTTGCCACCTTTTCTCATAAAACGTTTATGTTTTCTCTTCTGACTCACTTACCTATAACCTATCTGCCCAGGTTATGCATTGAGATCAAACAAGACAGAATAACTTCAGACGATTTTAGTTGGCAGACTCACACGTTTCCCCATGAGTTCTTCAAGTAAAAAACTTCAAGAGATAAAATTCCCCGGCAAGTTCATAATCTATCTTAGTTCTAACATCTAGCTGGCACCTGGGCTAAAAAGTAGATAAATACAGCAGTTTAGTGACAGGATGAAACTTCAACCCTGCAAACATGGCCATTTGTGACCACTTGAAGCTCGGAACTGAGTCAGTGTAAACATGAAGAATTTTCTGTTGGATGATAAAATAGAAATCATTTCTCCAGAGGATCAGATTTTAAGACCTCTATTTAAAACGAGCAATGGACAAGGGCTTAAAATGCCGGCACATACTGGTAACTTTTCATATTCCACTTATAAGACACCAAACCTGTCGGAAATCACTTGAGGATATAGACTCAAGGAACTTGACCTGGTAGACACAGGTAGTACCTGCCAACGCTGTAAACATATACAGGACAGATAACCAACCCTACCTGTTTATTTAGATTTGAGGACAGTACACAACCCCAGGCTTGCATTTATTCCACAAAACCACATGCCTTAACATGCTTAAAATAGAGCCTATAGTCTGAAAAGCTGATGTTATCACGTATTGCAAACCAAAGTTGTGCTCTCTTTGACTCCCTAGGAATTGGGAAGTTCATTGCCTTGGACTTTGCACGTCGCGGGGCCCGTGTTATTCTGGCCTGCCGAAGCCAGGCCCGGGGGTCAGCGGCGCTTCAAGAAATCAGGGAGAAAACCGGAAACTCTGATGTGCACCTGTGTCTGGTGGACGTGTCTTCTCTGGACTCGGTCAGGGAGTTTGCTGAGGGGATTCTCAAAGAGGAAGAAGCGCTCCACATCCTTGTCAACAATGCTGGAGTATCAGGTGACAACATGCTTTAATAGCAAAACTGGAATTATAAGTAAGCAACCACAACTGTTAACAAGAGTTACTGATAAATTCCATTCAGTATAAAAATGCAATACAACAGACAATATGTAATATCATGCTATCGGAATTCTACTCAATCTTAAAGGTATACCCCCTGGACATTTCAATAATCATCAAAAAAAGATGATTTGGACAAAAAGATGCTGTATATTTGGGCTAAATCAAAGATTGAAAACGTTATAATGGACTCAAATACTCATTCCACAATGGAAAAATCCAGTCACCATGTGTTACACATCTGGAAGTAAAGAAAAGACATGCCTGTTGGAGTCTCTAACCAAAATACTTTTGCAAACTGACACCCACTGCTATTTATAAGACAACTAGCCAACAAACATACTACAAACACACTCAATCTGCAATATAATGTGATGCAACAATATCAGCAACAAGTTAGTTTTGAGAAAACATTATCTCCTCATAACCTTTATGTTGGTGAACTTCCATTTTAAAGTAAAACTATGTCCACAGACTGAATAGGTCGATGTTCTATTAACAAAAACAAGTTGAGTGTATATCGCCAACGTAATGCAAGAACAAACAGCAGGGTTTTTCCTACCATTACAAGACTTGGGCAGTGTGCACTTTTGTCAAATGAGCCAGAATCCATTTTATTTATTGTTTTGGTAGTTTGTTTTTATTTGCTATCGTTTATGTGTTAAGGGTTTCAAAGCGTTTTTTCTCACATTTCAATTCCAATGTCCGAATTGAAATGTGTGACTTAAAGGTGGGGTATAGGTAAGTTTGAGAAACCGGCTCGAGATCGCTAGAATTTGAAAACACACAGCCGGAACAAATCTGCCACTTCCTTATAGAGCCCCTCCTCCAACACACACAAATGCGCACATGACCAATGAGGGCACGAGATAAGTTTGTGCACAGATGGAAAGCTGACAGGCAGGTATGGAGCTAATTTCCTGCCATAACTCCACAAACAAACTAAACAGGTTATACAAATGCCTTATGATTCACTAACAAACACAATGTGGTTTGCAAATACAAAACACCATCTACAAACTAATGAATTTAGTTTTGCAAAGAAAAAACGTATCTATCAAACAAACACATAACATTTTTCTAATAAATCATGTTTCAGAGACAAATTCAGCTTAGGTTTTACAAGTACACAACTTTTTTTTACAAGTGCACAAATTTGTTTTACAACTACAACACTTTGTTTTACAAGTACAAAACTTTTTCTTCTCACGGCGGAATATTACGTGACTTTTGGCAGTAATACGTGCTCACTCACACATGCTACATGGCAGCAGGGGGCGCTACTGAGTCCATTGGGAAGACGGGAGGTTGAGCAGAGCATGGAACAGCCCTTGCCAGTCTGATGACAGGTGTTATAGTGATAATATTATAAACAAGGTGAATTTAGCGATCACAACGAAAACAGCCAAGACACATATTGAGCCCAGAAAATAAATGTTATTAGGGGCTGTAAATATAATAAGCCTTTGTCTAAAATGGACAACATTGTAACTAAGGAGATTTAAACTATATATACAGCCAGGGGACGTTCGGGACGAATCCCGATGGGCCGGTACTGAAGTGGGCCGGTCGGATAAGTCACTGCTCACCCCCCCCTTCCCCCCCGTCGACAATTTCCTGCTTTTCATTTTTATTCCTGCTATATTCAATGAGTGATACAAATATTTTTTACCACAAGTTCTTAATAAAACTGACACTGTTGGACTTGGTACTAGTTGACTGCAACCAGAAATAAAATGAAGTACTTTACTGTGTACTGTGTGAGTAATCCTCTGTCAGAGTCCCCTCCATAGTACATAATGCATGTTTTTTGCTATCTTTGATGAATGATAAAAATAAAATGTTACCATTAGTTCTTAATGAAATTGATACGGTTTGACTTTGTATTAGTAAGCCTACTACTAACAATACATTGAAGTACTTTTACTGTGTATTTTTTGAGAAATACTCTGTCAAAGTCCCCTCCTGTGAACAAAATCAAGCCACTTCTGCTAAGTTTGATGAGGGAATTCTTTTTTGTTGCCATTAGTTCTTCGTGAGATTGATCCTGTTGGACTCAGTACTACTGAAACTACCCCCACAAGTACTATGAAGTACTTATTGTGTACTTTTCCAGTAATCCTCTGTCAATGTCCCCTCCTGAGTACAAGAATGCATGTTTTTCTTTTAATAAGCGTTAAAAAACATTTCTTCCTGAGACTGATATTGTTGGACAGAGTATTTTAAGAGGATGGTAGACATGATATCAGCAATACTTCCAGTCAGTACTCCGGCAGCAGCATTTTCACACCTTGGAAAGTCTTTAGAGTCTGGCCTGGAATGGATAGCTGGTCACAAATATCCTTCAGCAAAGTAACACACTCTGTCACATGGTTGCCCTCTTATGATGCTGCTGTCTTTTAATATATAATTATTCCTCTGGCGCTAGTTCGTTCCTCGCAGATTCTTCAGTCTCATCAGCCTCATCCTTCCATCAGTCCCAGTTAACGCCTCCAGCCCACTTCCAGTATCTGACTCCATATGATATTGTCCTGATGCTGTAAGGGTGATGCCCCATGATCACAAAATGACCCCTCTAGAGTGCCAAGGACCTCATATTATGTCTGTCATTAATGTTACATCACCCATTAAATCACCCAAAAAACTTAGAAGAAGTGGCTTGATTTTGTTCTCAGGAGGGGACTTTGACAGAGTATTTCTCAAAAAATACACAGTAAAAGTACTTCAATGTATTGTTAGTAGTAGGCTTACTAATACAAAGTCAAACCGTATCAATTTCATTAAGAACTAATGGTAACATTTTATTTTTGGGTCATTCCAGAATTGGAGGACATTTCATGTCCCCCATATAAAAAATCTAATAATCCATGCCCAAAAAGCTAAGACATGCACTTGTTGTGTTAAATATACTTGTCTTGAGACAAGATGCATATAAAGTTGTAGAAAAAGTGGTTTCAAAATATTATTTAAAATATCAAATAGCTCTCGAACACCCCCTAAAATTGCCCTTTTCTCTTGTCCCAGCTTCTTGGTGACCAACTTGCATGTCAACTATAACATTTAAAATAGGGTTTTTATTTACTTTTTTGGTATTATTCTATTGATATATGTGTCTTGTAATGGTAAAATCAATTTGTTAAATCATAAACACATTTTAAATAACAGTAATTTTGCACAGAAGGTGTGTCCCTCAACATGCGCGCAACCCTGTTACCGAAACCTTTTTAGCTTGGCAGAGGAAGTGAAAAAACTGTTTGTCGCATGACACAGTGGAAAGGACATCAGCAAGCCATGTGCTACTACCATGGGTAGACCAAAACTAAGTCCTCTCTTTTATTTGTAATATATTTCCAATCTTGTCACTCTTGAAGGAGTGTGGCACTCATACAAACGCAACCCTGTTACTCAAATTATGAGACAAAAACAAATTAATTTCAAATGTATCTTTCTTTTGTTAAATATATATAAATATAAATATAATATAAAGTGTGTCCATTCCTTGACAATAGCATTACATTGTGCAGCTAGCATTAATTCCTGAGGTAAAAGCTCAAATTAGCATTGATTTTCAACCCTGTTACTTGCAACCCTGTTACTATAATTAGAGTAACAGGGTTAATTCTTCATTGGAAAATATACATTTGATGCCTTAGCTGGGCAAATCACTTTTTTTTATGGTTTATTATCTGTTTTTCCTAAATACATAACAAAAAATAATCAAATGCAAGGTTCATTTTTCAAAAATGTTGGTGTCTAAATTGTCCTCCAATTCTGGAATGACCCTTTTATCATTCATCAAAGATAGCAAAAAACATGCATTATGTACTATGGAGGGGACTCTGACAGAGGATTACTCACAAAGTACACAGTAAAGTACTTCCTTTTATTTCTGGTAGCAGTCAACTAGTACCGAGTCCAACAGTATCAGTTTTATTCAGAACGTATGGTAAAAAATATTTGTATCACTCATTGAATATAGCAGGAAAGAAAATGAAGAGCAGCTGATTGACCGAGTGCAGAATCGCTGTATAGTTTAAATCTCCTTAGTTACAATGTTGTCTATTTTAGACAAAGGCTTATTATATTTACAGCCCTAAGAACATTCATTTTCTGGGCTCAATATGTGTCTTGGCTGTTTTCGTTGTGATCGCTAAATTCAGATGCTGGATCGCTAGAAACACCGCTGTCATGATCAGGCTGGCAAGGGCTGTTCCATGCTCTGCTCAACCTCCCGCCTTCCCAATGGACTCAGTAGTGCCCCCTGCTGCCGTGGAGCATGTGTGAGTGAGCATGTGTGAGTGTGTATGAGCACAACCACGGCGGAATATTACTGCCAAAAGTCACGTGACTTTTGGCAGTAATATTCCGCCGTGAGAAGAAAAAGTTTTGTAGTTGTAAAAACAAGTTTTGTACTTGTAAAAATAAGTGTTGTAGTTGTAAAAAAAATGTATGTACTTGTAAAACCTATGCTGAATTTGTCTATGAAACATGATTTATTAGAATAATGGTATGTGTTTATTTGATAGATACGTTTTTTCTTTGCAAAACTAAATGCATTAGTTTGTAGATGGTGTTTTGTATTTGCAAACCACATTGTGTTTGTTAGTGAATCATGAGGCATTTGTAAAACCTGTTTAGTTTGTTTGTGGAGTTATGGCAGGAAATTAGCTCCATAGGCAGATAGGCCATCCAATCAGGCCATCCAATCATTTTAGCCGGGCCGGCTAAAATGATTGGTCGTGCTTTTTACAGTACTACGGCTTCCACAGATGACATTTTTTATGGATTCTTTGTCAAAGCACTTAAGATATTCATTGCTATCGGGATGTTAAGAGCATTCCATGGAATATAACAAAAAGTGTATCTCGAGCCGGTTTCTCAAACTTACCTACCCCACCTTTAAGTTGTTAAGTTAATTCTTCTTTGGCAGGGTGGGCTTGCATAATATGCTGTTATGTTATCAGGATGTCAGTGTCATAATGGTCTTATAATGACAATAATGAAGTATATCTTTTTTATTTCTGGCACAATATTTCACGCAACAAAAAAGTAACTGTGTATTTATGTGTACATTTAAATCTTACCTAATTTCAACCATCAGGCTTACCTAGGCAGATAACCAAAGACGGGTTAGATGCTTCTTTTGCCACAAACCACCTGGGACCGTTCCTCCTCACCAACCTGCTCCTGGGTAAGACTATGCAGTCTCACTTTATTACAGAAGCTTTATTGTGGATATTAACTGACTTTCACGGGTCATTCTTATGTAAATATTTAAAATAAACAACATCTTTCTCTCTGCTTCTTTTCCCTTTCCTGACTCACTCCAGACCTGATGAAGCGTTCTGCTCCGGCACGCATTGTCACCCTCTCCTCGGTCAACCACAAGAAGGGCAAAGTGGACTTCTCTCACTTTCGCGGCGAGAACCTCAACTATTTCATGGATATTGTCTACAACCACACAAAGCTGCACAATATCATCTGTACCAACGAGCTAGCACGCAGGCTAGAAGGGACAGGTAGGATAAAATTAAGATGTTTTTAGGATTATCAATCATCAGTAGTTAGTCATCCTAAATGAAGCAGATGAAGGCTCACAGGCATTCTTTTAGCAAAACAGCTGAAACTAATTTTCTAAGTCATCTGAGAAGATCAGAAAAAAAGATTTGTAGAGGAAACCCGGTCACTGTTTCTGTTTTTCATCTCACGGTGTGTGTGTGTGTGTGTGTGTGTGTGTGTGTGTGTGTGTGTGTGTGTGTGTGTGTGTGTGTGTGTGTGTGTGTGTGTGTGTGTGTGTGTGTGTGTGTGTGTGTGTGTGTGTGTGTGTGTGTGTGTGTGTGTGTGTGTGTGTGTGTGTGTGTGTGGTGTGTGTGTGTGTGTGTGTGTGTGTGGTGTGTGTGTGTGTGTGTGTGTGTGTGTGGTGTGTGTGTGTGTGTGTGTGTGTGTGTGTGTGTGTGTGTGTGTGTGTGTGTGTGTGTGTGTGTGTGTGGTGTGTGTGTGTGTGTGTGTGTGTGTGTGTGTGTGTGGTGTGTGTGTGTGTGTGTGTGTGTGTGTGTGTGTGTGTGTGTGTGTGTGTGTGTGTGTGTGTGTGTGTGCAGGTGTCACCGCAAACTCCGTCCACCCTGGTATTGTCACAACTGAAGTGTTGAGACACTATCCCTGGGGTGTTCGTTTTCTTTTCAACCTCATTGGACTTTTCTTTTTCAAGGTCAGTACTGTGTTGCATTATACGTTGCAGAGTCAATGTCCACATTCATGTCTCCACTGTCTTCATGTCTTGCAACCATCAAGGTAGAATGTGATTGGTTAATGTTCAGGAGCATCCTTTTGTTATATGAAGCCACTCCACTAGTTGGCTGGCTTTAGAGGTAAAATACTTTGTATTAAGTCAACCATCACGCTGATCGTCTGCTTGCTCAGAGAGGCAATAGGTTTATTTACAAGACAACTTGTGTTATATTCCTTTAACTGGAGGCTAGAAATACAACTGAACCTTTCAGTATTAAACACTTAATATATTTGGGAACTCCTTGACATAAAATAACAAACCATCATCCATATAAAGTAGGGCATCTGGATATAGAATAAAAGCCACTATTAGGCTCAAACTCTAATTAGAAGTCAGGATGTTTGGATTTGACATTTTGGAATAATTGGCTAAGACACTGTGTCTACTCTGGAGTATAAGATATGTTATTAATGATTAGCTCTGACAGCCAGGACTGAAGGTCAATGTGCAAAGATGACTAGCTGACCACATCAAAGTAATACTACATGCTTGAACTGTATGAACTGAATGTATTCATCATGCTTCCAGGGAAACTTTTGTTTTCATTACAGGCTTTGTTCCAGACCTCCAGCAAGTCAGTGAGTCAGCCCTTAAAACAACAATTTGGAATCATTACAATCTAGATTTATATGTTGAAATTAAGTTGCTGCGATCTCGGAACATAGCGTCTTTACTTAAAAGTTCAAGAAACTCACTGCCACCTGAAATCAAACAGAAATGGGTTTAAATAAGTCAACAATGTATATTAGCCTGTTAAGCCCCAAAGACCCCGTCGGCGGGTCCTTTTTTTTTTCACAATTTATTAAAATATATATATATATATATATATATATATATATATATATATATATATATATATATATTTTTTTCTTTGGATGGAATGAATACCTATGGTGATAATTCAATGTAATACACAATTTTTATAGTCTGGTACCTGAAAAACCCTTTTAGAAGTTAAGTTGTGGTCATTTGTTTTGGGCATGTCATTTTCGAGCCTGAAACCTGAAAAACAGGCTCGGGGCTTAACAGGTTAGGAAACGTGTATGTTTCTGTGGGTGAAACTGGAGGAGAAGGCATTTAAATTAATCACTCGGGAAAACAGTGAACTGTGAAAACATCAAGGAAGGTGCAATTACAGATGAACTGAGAAATTGTTCTGTAAACTTGAATGGAGGTTTGTGATGCGCCGGTGAAGATGGCTGCATCGTCTTTGGGCTCCAACTTTGCCCCTTTTCGTATTTTGTGCGTATTTATTTTACTCTTGCCGTTTTACTTTTAACATGGTTCGCAACATGCAAGACGACCGCACCTACTCTGCCACACAATATAGCAGAGAGGAACTTCTTCACATTCGAAACTTCATGGACAATAATAATCCTCCGACAGATAATGGAGATTTGCCATGGCTACCTGTTGCTGTCCTTCCTGAGAGACGCAGGAGGAAGACCAAGCGACGATGCCGGGCCGGGCTGCTGGTCAGACTGAGGAAACGAGAGAACCGACCCCCTCTTCCGAGTATTCTTTTGGCTAATGTTCAATCCATTGAAAATAAGCTAGATGAACTCAGAAGCCGGATTGCTTTTCAACGGGACATTAAGTCCACATTTACACGAGAACGAAACGGCTTGTATCTGCATAGTTTCTCTTGCGTATAGCCCTATTATTTACACGAGGCCGTAACAAACGGACCCCACAAACAATAACGGGTCCCAAGGTGGATAGATTTGCAAACGAAATGCTCTGGGGGGTCAAACGAGTCCGTGTAATCGCCTCTATACGAATATTTCCTGAAAAAATAACGATAGCCCCACCTCTGCTGCTCACTGCTGTAGCATGGCCAGTAGCTACTGTCAGTAGCTACTGTCAGTAGCTACTGCTAGTGCTACTGCTACTGACCATGCTACAGATGTTAGTACAACATCTACAGCTCGACCATGCTACAGATGTTAGTGCAAAATCTACAGCTCCTCTACCACAACCATCAGCAACAAGTGGACATGGAGAATTACATGAACTATTACATGTTGCTAAATCCACCGCAGGGCATAAACAGAAGGGTAGCCATGGCAACATTGCTGCGGGGCTGCTCCGGGGTCTTCTTCGCTGCTTTTGGTGTATTTTGTGGCGGAAGTTACAGCGCCACTTACAGTCCCAGCATATGTACTACAGCATGTCCAGCGCTTTCAAGCGGTCTCGTGTGGAAGTACAGCGCCACTTACAGTCCCGGCATATGTACTACAGCGTTTCCAGCAGTCTCGTTTGAACAGACACGTTAAATGAAACGAATGCATGTGAACGGAAGACTTTTTTGAAAGCGCATACTGTGCATAAACGCAAACGTTCCCGTGTAAAAGCAGCCTAAGAACTGTAACGTGTTAATTCTCACTGAGACTTGGCTCAACCCCGCTATCCCGGACTCCGCCATTGTTCCTGTCGGATTCACTATTTTTCGTCAGGACCGGACTGCTAACTCGGGGAAATGTAAGGGAGGCGGTGTGTGTGTAATGACTAATAACAACTGGTGCACAGATGTGAAGATTATTTCTTCAGACTGTTCCACCTCATGATCACATGCCGGGCCTTTCATCTGCCGAGGGAATTCACATCTGTTCTGATAACAGCAGTGTATATCCTGCCGCAGTCGCTCGCCGACAACAACACGGCACTCGATCAGCTGTTTGGGATTATTGATAAGACCGAGACTTCACGGCCAGATGCGGCGTTCGTTGTGGCCGGAGATTTCAACACCGCCAACATGAAGAAGGTCTTGCCAAAATATTACCAACACATCAGCTGCCCGACGCGCGGGGGAAACATACTGGACCATGTTTATTCCCCTTTTCGAGATGGATATAAGGCTCTGCCTCGCCCTCCCTTCGGCAAATCAGACCACATCTCACTGCTGCTGCTGCCTGCTTACAAGCAGAAACTTAAAAGGCACAGACCGGTAATAAGGACAGTACAGCGATGGAGCGAGGAGTCAGATTCAGCACTGCAGGATTGCTTTGCATCTACGGATTGGAGTGTGTTTGAGGACAATAACATCAACACACACACGGACACTGTCATCTGCTACATTGGGAAATGCATCGATGACGTGGTACCGAAGGTTTCTGTACGAACATTCCCAAATCAAAAGCCCTGGATAAACTGCGAGGTGCGCGGCAAGCTGAAAGCGCGCACTATCGCGCACAGAGCTGGAGATTTGGAGGAGTAAAGGAAGTGCTTTGAGCGGTTAGTCAAATCATTCATCACCTCCTCCCTCCCTGACTCTCTGGACCCCCTGCAGTTTGCCTACAGAGCAAACAGGTCCACAAACGACGCCATAGCCCTCACCATCCACACTGCCCTCTCACACCTGGACCCGAAGAACAGGAACACATATGTGAGAATGCTGTTCATTGACTACAGTTCAGCATTCAATACCATTGTGCCCTCCAAGCTGGCCATCAAGCTCAGAGAGCTCGGGCTCAACAGCGCCCTCTGTGACTGGATCCTGAACTTCTTGACGGGCAGACCCCAGGCAGTGCGGGTGGGAAATATCACATCCTCCACCCTGATTCTCAACACCGGTGCCCCTCAAGGCTGCGTGCTCAGCCCTCTCCTCTACTCCCTGTTCACTCACGACTGTGTGGCCACACACAGCTCCAACACCATCGTGAAGTTTGCTGATGACACGACCGTCATCGGCCAGATCACAGACGACGACGAGACGGCGTACAGAGAGGAGGTCGAAAACCTGACATCTTGGTGCCAGGATAACAACCTCCATCTCAACATCAGCAAAACAAAGGAGCTGATTGTGGATTACAGGAAGCAGCAGGGAGAGGGACACGCCCCCATCGCCATCAATGGGACTACGGTGGAGAGAGTCAGCAGCTTCAGGTTCCTTGGGGTCCACATCACTGAGGACCTGACATGGACTCTTCACACCACCACCATCACCAAGAAAGCTCGACAGCGGCTCTTCTTCCTCCGCAGGCTGAGGAGGTTCAAAATGGATTCTAGGATACTCTGCAACTTCTACAGGTGCACGATAGAGAGTATCCTGACTGACTTTTTGTATTACTCTTACTATCTGTATTATTATTATGTTGCATTGTTGGAGAAGCCTGTGACATAAGATTTTCAACAACATAATTACTCTGTAGCTATGTCAGTTTGACAATAAAGAACCTTGAACCTTGAACCTTGGAAGAGAACATGATGTGTTACAGCTTATTTTTGTCTTGTTGACAAATGTCTAACCGACTGCAGTGTTTTCTCAGAATTGCCATCACCTGGAATGCACCGATAACAGCATTATGTAGCAGAAAAAAATTAATGTTGGAAGAAGTAATCAGATCCTTTACTTAAGAAAAAGTACAAATGCTGTGCAAAAGTATTGGCATCAAAATATACAATATGCATAATGGATCTTTTCAAAGTATAATGTTAATTTGTTTATTATCTGATCCTGTTTTTGATACATGTAAGAGCATTTTAGTATTGTAGTTTGTGAATGTTGGACTGTTGAATTTAGATACTTGAAATACTGTGTAGATGTACAGTACTGCATATACCATATCAGCAAATCATGTGTTCTTAAATATACAAAGTAACTAGTAACTGTTAGAGTTAAAATAAATGTGGAGTATAATATTTGCCTCTGAAATGTAGCAGAATAGAAGTATAAAGTAGCATTACATGGAAATCCTCAAGTAAAGTACAGAAATGTCGAAAAAGACCTTGAGTACTTTACTTGAGTAAATATACTTAGTTACTTTCTACCACTGGTCAAAAGTAACCATACATTTGTCCGTCTTTGCGGTCAGTCTGTTTCTGTTTTTTAACCATTCCAAACTCTTCTCCTTCTCATGTTCATCTGTGTGTATCTAAGCTTAACATCTGGTTATACTATACACACATCAGTGATGAGATAACTTCTTGGCTGCATATCTGAACCGGCGCAAATAATATCTGTCCTTTTTGTTGACTGTGCTCTCACATTGTTTCCTTCACCACTCTTGTGTTCCTCTCAGACTCCAGAGGAGGGTGCAGTCAGCTCGATCTACTGTGCGTTGGCAGAGGAAATGGAGGGGATAACTGGGAAGTATTGTGACTGCGACTGCCACTTGGTCCTCCCCGCCCCTTTAGCTCGAGACGCTGCCCTCGCGGTCAAGGACTTTGAGATCTGTGAGAGGCTGACATCAAAGCTCTGAGACAACTATCAGGCAAACGGAGGCTTGATAACAGAAACGGGGTCAAATTCCACCCTCACTTACTGCACCTCTTGAGTGAACATTTGTGAAATGATGTGTCTTTAAAATCATCAGGAGATGTTTCTGAATACAATTTGATTGAAGTAATTTTAAACTCAATTAAAAAAATTGCTTTTTGCTTTTTTGTGAACACTATACCAAATATGTAATGTCGTTTGTTAACCAGTGAAATAAAAAGGGGTTTCGTGAGACATGCTGACATCACGCGGCCAACTCATACTTCCATTCTTCTTCAGAAAATGACAACAGAAGTTCAATACAGTATGTGAACATTCACTTCCCTTTTATTGGATGATTCATTAAAGCATAATAAAACATTTGAGCATTCAGTGCTTTTTGAAGAGTTTGTACAGCGTTCATCCCCTGGTGTCTTCACCCTGGCTATTTGGCTGTGGAGACAGAGATAAAGAAAGAACAGCATAAGGTTTTTAATCCAATCACTATCACTTGTAAGTGTGTATTATAAATATGTTTGAATAATAAAAGAAGATACAAGGCCATGTTGTACTGTAGGTTTGCTTTTTTTTTTAATAGACTCTATACTGTCCATCTTCTTAAACACTTTACCTTTCTGATGTTCCTCCACTATATCATGGATGATCTCTTCGAGGACCGGAGCAACCTGAGCTAGCTGTTCGGGTGAAAGACGGATGGCAATCTCCACAGTTTTATCCTGGACAAACAGAAGAAGAAGTGTTAATGGCCTGTATTCAACAACATTTCTGTGGTGAAAACAATATTGTGGGTCAGAGGTGTGTGTGTGTTTATGAGTGTGTGTTTGTGTGTGTGTGTGTGTGTGCTCACAGGATTGTCATGTTCCACCTCAGGAAGCTGTTGGACTGTAACCTCTTCAAACTGACCATCCTCTGATCGAGGCTCCATGTCCTTTCTACCTTCTCTCTCCTGCAGCATACAAACACACATTTACACAACAATACAAACCTTCTGTCATACAGTTAGGAAAAACAAACGTGAAAGAAAATGGAAAACTACAATGAGACAGTTTGGACTTCTAATGAAATCTCCATTCATTCTGTCTTTGTCCAGTATAAAGAGCCCCAATGCTTACGGAAATCCCTCTAACAATACTACATGTTTTTGTTTCCTCAGCCTATAGTTTGTCACCTTCATACTGATTCTGCACTGCAAGAACATCTGCTTGACCTATTTCTCTAACTTAAAGTGGACCTATCATGCTATATTTGAATAATATATTGTAGGGCCATACCTATATAAAACATGTCTGTGAAGTTTTTTTTTCAAAATACCAAACAGATCATGCATTTTAGCCATGCCTCATTTCGCTCTATTTGCTCTTTTCCAGCCCTGTTTTTGCAAGGGCTGATTCTGTGGCAAATGAGCTGCAGCTGACCACGCCCCCCTGCAAAGGAGGGGGGTGAGGCGAGCGTCATGTTACCATGCTGTTACCATGCCACGGCAACCTCTCATTCCCCTAATAGGAGAGTTGCCCATATAGGCGGAGCTCCTTGTTTCTGACGTCAGAGATATTTCAAATCTGTATCAGTCTGTATCAGATCCGTTGCAGCCCCGTTTTTAGAGATTTGGGTATGGAGGAAAAGAGAGAGGGTTGTGTTTTCTGACACTTGGTGAGTTCCCTGACACACCGGGGACACATATTCATGTATAAAAGACGTACAAAAGTGCATTTTGCATGATAGGTCCCCTTTAATCATTCATACTTTGCAAAATGAAAGTACCCAACTAGACATCTCAAACAAAATATTAATCCGGATTTGATATTCCATCTTTCCAGTTGGATAACACTGACTCACAGTTGAAAAAAGTGGAGATGTGTTTTCATTAGCAAGTATAAATTGCTATTTATTTATACATGTTATTCTATTCATTGATTCATTGTTTGGCAATTAAATGTCTTAAACGAAACAGAGATGTGTTGTTGTCCAATTAAAACCCAAATATCGGGGCGAATCTCATAACTGAGAAACTGATATCAAGTAAATCCACAGGACAAAAAAATTGAAGAAAAAGGTCTTATGAGAGTTTAGTGGGAGTATGAGTGCGGTGACATCACAACTGTGACTCAGGCTCTCCGTCCAATCAGACACGAGCTGCTTACCTTCATCAGCATCATCTCCTTGGGACTGAAGAAGGTGATGTGTCCCTCCGTCCTCTCAGCCAGCAGCACCACTAGGCACGCCAGCACCAAACAACCTGTCACTGCTCCACGCATGCTCATTCTGCTCTGTTCTGGACACACACACACACACACACACACACACACACACACACACACACACACACACACACACACACACACACACACACACACACACACACACACACACACACACACACACACACACACACACACACAAACACACATTCAAATACAAATACATTACATAGGCACACATGCAGAACAATGTTTCCACACCAACATGGGGTGACACTGAGGCCAAGTCACTCACAGAATTTTCTTTTAGCAGTTGGAAAGAGTCAAAATAGGTCAAACAAAATCAAAATTAGACAGTGAGTGTGCCAGATAACTAAGTTTAGAGTAACAAGGACACAAGGGATCCCATGTCATTATGCAAGGATTGACAAATAGTTGATAGAGAAAGAGATAGGCGGGGGGAGTAGGGGGGGGAGAGAGGCGTGGAAGTAACAAACAACAGGCAAGATAAGAGAATGAGTGGACCAGCCATACTTACAACAGCAAGACAGCTCTGTACACAATGTAAGACAGGACGTCGCAGAGAAGAAAGACAGGAGCAACAGACAGCGGGGGAAAGAGACTGGAGGGAGAGTGAGAGGAGAAGACATATGTTACTCACGTGCTGTGTCAGCTTTGGTCAGTTGTTTAAGGAAGTCTGCGTTAGGATGAGCAGGGCTGAACTGTTCTGAGCGTCTGCTTGTCCCGGGCAGCCTTTATACCGAGCCCTCTCCTGATCTCTGAGCTTTTACTGACCTCCCTCACATCCGCTCCTCAACAGGCTCCTTCAGAACTCTCCTCCATGCTCCTGGAAACACACATATTACTCAGGAATCTGGCTTTTGTATTAGCTATTAGGGTAGTAAGCCTGCCATGCTGTTACTGAGTTGACCTTTAACACGAATGACAATAGGAGACATTGATGAGAAAAAGGAAAAGGAAGATTAATCTTAAAGAAGATAAACCACAGAAGAACAACTTGGTTAAAAGTGAATGTGTGCATTTTACACGAGTTTAAGAATAAAAGTATTAGCACCAAATTATACTATGAAAACTAAAATGGCTCATTGTGCTGTATGGACTGATTCAGGGAATTTCTCAATTATACTTTTTAATATTATTTCCTATGCGTTACACAGATGGATATCCACAAAAATAGTACATCAATAAAAAATGAAAAATACATATATTAAAATAGTCAAATCAATATTATCTAAAAGCACAAAAAAGCAGGAATACACAAAAAGTGTTAAGGCTAAATGAAAGTTAAATCTTTATTCATCATTCTAATGTCAATGTAGGAGATAGTAAAGGTAGGACTTATTTTAATTAACTTATATAAAGTGTATCTGCTGTGTCAAAACTAAATGGAGTTATCAAATATATGTAGTGGAGTGGAAATTAAAATGTTTGTCTCTGAATTGGAGTGGAAAAAAGTGGAAAACTCAAATAAGTACAGAACTTTGGTAAAAGTACTAAAAGAAACTTGTCGCATATTGACTGGGGTTTTGTGTGAGCTACAGGACACATGTGTTCCTCACATACTGAAAAGGGCTGATATGATAGTGAAGTGTTACACAGAAATGTCTTCTTATCATGCATGACAGCAAACAAACACATTTTCCGGAATTTAACCTTCATATGAAGAAGATAAAACTAACTCATTCATAACACATTTTAAAACCGACTGCTTAATCTGTGCCTTTCAGTCACCAAGTTAAATATGGAAACAAATTATAGCGAGTAAGATGCTTGAATTTGATTGCACTTAGGTGAAAGTATACCGTCTTATTTTTCATTAAAAATGATAAATGTGGGAGTTTTTTATGTAAGATTTTGAATGATCAATTGGTGATAAATGATTGGTAGATTCATTTAATAGTAGACAGAAAATGAATCTTAAACTGTTTTGAAACTGGAGTGATACTTTTTTTTTTAAATGGTAAAACACATAACACATCAGGAAAAATAGAAGAAATTCACCTTTTTTATATTGTAAGCTGCCTTTTGGATGTGACCGGTCATTTACTAAATGCTTACTTAAGACTGCGTGTGACTTGTTTTTAAGTACTAGAACAATTGTCAACCTTTACTGATCACACATCTAAGTGTATTTATTTTGGCCATTTGAACTTATAGTTAGTCATCCTAAATGAAGCAGATGAAGGCTCACAGGCATTCTTTTAGCAAAACAGCTGAAACTAATTTTCTAAGTCATCTGAGAAGATCAGGAAAAAAAATCTGTAGAGGAAACCCAGTCACTGTTTCTGTTTTTCATCTCTCGGTATCTGTGTGTGTGTGTGTGTGTGTGTGTGTGTGTGTGTGTGTGTGTGTGTGTATGTGTGTGTGTGTGTGTGTGTGTGTGTCATAAATGTTCTGCTCTTAGCTAATATACAACACAATGTGACATGTATGACGTGCCGTTGATGTACAAACAGACCCACATGCATCCGTTCCTCGGTAACATCATGACCCTAAAGAACTCTAACAATGCTTTTCCTACAAATAACACTTATCGCAGGCTGTGTTTATTATTATTTCACCCTGCAGGAGTGGACTATTAAAAGTATAGCCACCACTGTATCTTGTTTAGTGGGTTACATTTTTTCATCACCTAAGAAAAGTCTCTTTAAAGGTTTTTCTTATGTACACGTATAGTTGATTTGCCTTTAGCCATATAAAGTGTTCAGAGTTTTATTTCAAACCCAGTTGGAGTAGCCAAAATCAGTGCACATGTCTTAAATACTGCTCACTGAACTGACTGAGTACTACCGTTGGATGTTTCCGTTAAATGATAAATCTGTCAATATTCTATACATTCTTAATAAATCCAAAAACGACAAATTCCCAACAAAGACAAATAAAGTGGTTAATTAATGCATTTGTCAATGATTTGAAACTGGAGGAGAAGGCAATGACAAAATATGTGTCTGCAACTGTTGTTATCATTTATTTAACTTTTAAGTATGCTTAAAAAAATGCAACAATCAAAGAGGAACTGGTTTCAGCTTCAATATTGTAGATATTTAAGCAAAAGTCAAAATTATGAATATTTAAGTAAATATTTTATTTGTATGTTTTTTGAGTATACTTGTCAGACCAAACAAGATATTTCACCACGAACCTGAATACTAGACTTTCATGTGTCCTACAAATGTAAAAAAAGAGAACAAAATCATCAAACTTCACTAGATAACAAATTACTTCAGTAATTCTTTATCATTACTAAGTCCCAGAGAAACATCCTGCTGCCAAAAATACACACATACGCACTTGTGCTCATTTATTTGTGGCAGAAAATAGTCC